TGGTGCCATTTTATGGACTAAAAAAATTCTTAAGATAATTGCTCAGCTTCTATCCAAACAGCCTACAGAAACCATGCCAAAGCTTCTCCTAGGACAAGCATACAGACAGAATATACTCAACTGCTCATAATATAGCTTGATTCTAATATTTCAGGGGATGAAATCTCCCCACACACACACACACACACACAAACCCTGGGACTAGGTTGATGATTTTTAAAATTCACTTCATTGCCTTACATATGAGGTCATGAACCATATTCATGGGGGAAAATACATTATGCTTGGAGTTTACTGGATTTATTATTCAGGAAGAGAGGGATGTATAGTTTGATCCATTTCAACAGCAACAAAAAAGAAGCTACAAGAAAATGAAGGAGTCATTTCTTTTTTGTCGTTTGCCAGTGACCCATGTATGTGTAGCTGAGTAAATTACCCATTCCATTCGGTATTTAGATTACTGCACTCTCAAAGAGAGAAAATCACTTCCTTGAAATTCAATAATACAGCCAACATATTACGTTTCAAATATTGTACACTTCAAAAATAAAGTCATTTTAAATCAGTACAATGTTCTCAATCTTGCTTATTTTATAGATATACAACAACTTACAGTCCTGTTTGATCACCCCATTTCTCCATGCCAGAGTCAATTCATAAAGCAATCCCTTTACTAGATAGATTCTGAGAACCAGGAACAATAACAGAAACAACATGTACTCCAAACGCTTCTATTATCGGAGACCTCTGTAATATATGTACATGCTGTCCTATCAAAACAGAGGAAAAGCATATGCCTCAAAGAAGACAAACTATGATACCCTCCATAACTAGCCTTACATGAATATAACCCTGCTTACAACAGATACTTTGTCAGCGCCTATGGTACCTAAAACGGGCCTTGTTTACAAAAAGGTAAGTCAATTTAAGGAAGGAAGGGAAGAAGGAAGGAAGGGATAGAGGGAAGGAGGGAGAAAGGGAAAGAAGGAGGGAGGGAGGGAGGGAGGGAGGGAGGGAGGGAGGGAGGGAGGGAGGGAGGGGAGAAGAGAAGGAAAGCTTCTGTTAACAAATTATGCTGCTTAAGGAAAACAAAACTAAAAACAAAAACAAGCCAAAAAAATTTGTCTCCATCCTGAATAAGCATCACCTCATTAGGAAAAATTACAGTAGGTCTTTCTGTACTGTGTCATAGCTGGATACAAATTATGTAGGGTCTTTCAGTATTTTTATTTGTTTTGAGAGGTCTTACTAGGTAGTTGTGGCTGGCCCTTTCTTTCCTCACTAACCACCACAGACTAACCTCAAACTTACAGCCTTCCTTCTCACTCAGCCTCCTGAATGCTGATATTAGCAGCAGGAGCCACAAGATCTGGCTTTGGTATTGATTTTCAAATTAAGAATTTGAATTCTCTGTGCAAACAAATTCCTTATACTGGTGTCAGTAAAAGGCATGCATAATTTCCAATGGGAAGAATTTAAATGCTGTAAATATACAAAGCACTTCACAGTTTATAACAGTGTTCATGGATATAATCTTTTTTCAGCCTCTCAGGAAAGAGCACCACAAGGCTGTATCAACATCTTCATTTTATAAGTTATAAAGCAGAAAGACAAAGATGTTAAATATCTTGCCTAAGATCCCTTCACAGGATTCTACTGTCTCTTCCTTCAAACAGAAAAAAAAAATACAAAGAATTCTACTTATTCTCACATTGCTGTATAACCCAAGCTTTTCTGAATAATGAAATATAATCAAGACATACAGATACTATCATAATATAAATCCTAAATGTCACAGTCTCTCCAAACTCTGTATTAATGTTTTTTAACCTTTACATAACGACTCTTTATGAAATCTAATGATAACTGAAGATCTTCACCCCTGCACAAAGGCATATAAGCAAATATTCACAGCAGTTATTATTCATAATAAGAATAAAAACTACCCAAATATTCATTAGCCATTGAATGTATTAATAAACTGCAGCAAATCTACAATAAATTACCATTCAGCCACACAGAGGAGTGAATGCTGAAAATATCACACTAAAAGAAATTGGCCATAGACACATTTGAACTATCCAAGACAGCAACAATCACATGATCTCATTCATATGTGAAGTCTTGAAAAGTTGATCTCAGGGTTTGACAATAAACTGGATTTAACCACAGGCTGGGGAGAAGAGGGGAGGAAAAGGAGGTACGGAGATTGACCAAGGAGTACTGACTTACAGTTAGATAGAAGCAAGAAGCTTTGTTGTACTATTGCATAGTAGGTTAACTGCGGATAATAATAATGTACTGCACATTTTAAAAAGCAAGAAGAAAGTATTTAGAAAGCCTTTACCATAAAGAACTGACAAGTGCTTAGAGAAAGAAATATATTTAACCCAATTTAATCATTATGTGATACTTCATTGATGTGCAAAATTTTTACATTTTTCTATTAGTTAAATAAATTTAAGGGCTAGGGAGATGGCTCAGTTAGTGAAGTGCTTGCATGAGGGCATAAGGGCTTGAGTTCAGGTCCCCAGCATCCATGTAAAAGGCTGGCTTGATGCACATCTTTAATCCTAGCACTGAGGAGACAGAACTGGAAAGATGCTTGGAGCTTGCTGGCTAACTAGTCTTACTGAATTGGTGTGCTCTAGGTTCAATAAGAGACCATGTCTCAAAAAATAAGGTGTATAGTGGTGGTGGAAGCTACCAGATGTCTACTTCTCTCTACACTCCACACACATATATGTACATGCACGAATACTTACACCCACACAAAATGAACACATACATATACCACACACACAAAGGAAAAATGTTCACTATAGGCAAACCAAAAGAACTATGAAGTAAACTAATTTTTGCCTAGGGCTTGAGGGGATGTTAGGTAAACGTGGACTAACTACCTGTGAGGTCTTTTGTTGAGGGGATGACTATGTTCTAAAAGTGACCGTGGTAGGTGAAGAAAACACAGAAAACCACTAAATTGTATACTTTAAAATGTCTCAATTGTATTGAATATGAAAATTGTGTCTCAATAAAGATGTTTCTTTTATTTGCAGTGCTTGGAACCAAATCCAAGGTCTTATGTCTATAATGTAAGAATTCTACCACTGAGCTATATTACAGTCCTTCAATAAAGGTATTTTTAAAATAACCATTACCATGGACAAATAAAATTTACCAGAAATTTCCTGAGCCCCCGAAATTCATCTACAAGTGTAATAGGGTCCAAGAACCAAAGTTAGTGAACTCCAAGAATTATCAAATTTCTTTATTTCACAGATGTTTACTTCAGTTGTCCCAACAACTACCAAAACTATGCCTTATCCTTTTTAAGACCTCTAAGCCATTAGATTATATGATCATAGTTTTCAATACTGATTCTTTATAAACAAATAGTACAGTTTCATAAATATAAGTTTAAGAGCTAGGTCCAGGCATAGCAGTGCACTCCCCATAACTCAAGCATTCAGGAAGCTAAGGCAGGAGGATCAAACAGTTCAGGCCAGAACTGGGCCATAAAATAAAACTCTATCTCCACAAAAGGTAGAAGTAATCTTTAATCATGGAGCATCTGTTACTTGCAAGGAATAACTGTAATTTAAAAATGTAAAAAGATTTTTGTCATAAAACCTAATAAGCAAGGTCCATACACAAGTAAGAATATTTAAAATAGAAGAGAACCCTTCTCTTTAAAAAGGTTAGGGAAAATCAGCCAGGAAGAATGAGTCTAGCCTTGAAAAATAGGAGATAGCCATTAATAAAAAGGGATATAGGGAATTCTAAATGAAAGCAGAAACAGGGAACCAAAAGGGGCCAAGCATGCCCAACTTTGATAGGTTCTAATAAGCCAATGAAGGCTGCTGAGATGGCAGGTATCAAAGTAAGGCTGCTATGTTCATAAGGCAGCTATAGATGCATTCATGTGAGAGTCAGGGAAACGGCAGTAATGAAGCACAGGAGCCTACAATAGAGTACAAAGAAAAGGTTGGCAAATCTGATTTATTTTGGGGCATTTTTAAATGTCAAGGCATGCTGGAAAGATAGTGCTCTTAAATAAGCCACAGCTGCTCATTTAAAGCTGCCAATAGGGGCCAGGTATGGTTTCAGGTCCAGTAGTTCTACCTACTTGGGAGGTTAACTTGTGCCTTGAGTTTGAGGCCAGGGTTTTAGCAGCAATTTAAGAAAACCCTGTCTGATAAAAAGAAGGAAGGGAAAGGGAAAGGGAAAGGGAAAGGGAAAGGGAAAGGGAAAGGGAACGGGAACGGGAAAGGGAAAGGAAGGGGAAGAAAAAAGAAAGAAAAAAGGAAGGATGGCAGCTGTATTTCACTGTGGTAGATACTTATCCAAGACAACTCATATTCCAAAATATTTAAACTTCAAGTTCCTGCTATACTGATTTGTGGGATTAGGAAGATCCAACTTCTTAGGCTACCTTTGCTGTTAACTACATTCTGTAAGTTTTCAGCAAAATAGTCTTGATAAGAGTGGAATCATAAACTTTCTGGCAACCAGGTAAAGCTGAACTCCCAAACGGTAAACAAAATGGCACACACAGGAGCAAATGCTGTTGAGTCAGAGGGCTGGCGGAGCAGGACATCTTTTCCCTTGAAATTGCTTTACTTCTGTGAGCCTGGACTATCGGGGTAATAATAACCACAGGCAGGAACCATTTCTGGGTTATACATTTACCACGTGGTCGGGAACTGACCAGATGGCATAGGGGTGTGTACCTGCCTGGCACAGTTGAGGATTGGTCATGCTTAAGAGAGACAAAGAGGCCGGAAGAAGCTGAAGGCTACCTAAAAGGTTTCCTTCCTACACAAAGCAATGTTAACCACAGCAACTAAGAGGCCACAAAAGTGTCTCACTGACTTTCTCTCTACTCACACGCCAAAGAAAGAGGCCTGACCCCCAAAAACAGTGTGCCAAATCCAAACAGGTTTTTACTCTCACCCTGCAGCCCTCCACTCCCTTTTCCCCTTCCGCTCTAGGCTTACTTGTCCCGGATGATAGTCTGCAGCTCCCGGATCTGATCATTCATAGGCAGCAATTTAAGCTGAGCCCCAATCTGTCGGGAGAGTTCACAGTCCCCTAGCAGGGAGTCGCCGACAGGTGCTTCGTAGTTGCCACTGTCACTACTGTCACTGTGGTTCTCAGAGTGAAGATTAGTGCTGCAGCAGGCCTGAGAGTCCCGCTCCGAAAGCACGCTAGAATGGGCGTGCCCAGGGAGGAGAGTCAGCTTAGCCATAGCAGCGTTATTTTCCTCTGCATGATCCAGGACCCGGTCCTCGGCTAGCAGACGCTCGGGACTTGGGCTAGAAGTAGAGTTTACTTGCCGGTTGTGACAGGGCATGGAGTCCGGACACTGTAACTCCGTGGCCATACACGGGGCCCTGGGCTCTCCCCGCTGCTATCAAACCCTAGGGATAAAGGGATAAAGGGCAGGAAGAAAGGGATGGAGACACGTGCTTTCTCTTGGCCCCCGCCTCCTCCTAATCTCTAACCCTTGCTGCCCTCTCACCCTTAGGCCTCCGCGGTCCTTTCGCACTCTTTGCCCATACCCGCCCACACCAGACGCACTGCCGGCTTAGACACCTTATTGGCCTCTCTCTCTGCCAGTCTACAGCATGCTGGGTTGTTAACTCTTTTACGTCTTCCTGCTTGAGAGAATCTCACTCGTAGCTTGGCAGACGTGGCTAAGCCAAAGATTCCTGGTTGCTGAGTCCTCAGAAAACTCCCACGACTTCTTGCAATCAAAACGTTGGTACTGCCAAAGGAAGATACCAGGTGGATTATACACACAAGGCACATGTTTTCCAACTTTCTGACTTGGCAAAGAAAACGTACTTGGGTAGTTGGTTGCATCTTCAAGCTAATGGCTTATCTGTGTAACAGAAGAAGGAAGTAAGAACAGCTAGCAGGCTACTGAAGAGCCTGGCCTTTCTAGACTATTCTACAAGATGTAGTCTCTTAAGTATACTTGACCACTAAAATTTTTCTTACTGATATTAGCTGGCCACTGTACTGAACATATTACTATGGAGAATATGGTATAATTTTCGTTACACTATCACTTTATTCTTCCAAACAATACTTAGAAGGATAGATTTTTAAAATGTATAGGTACCCACCAAGAAAGTCTAGGATAGTAATTTTCAAACACCTATGTGTCTCAGAACAGTTGTAGAGCTTGTTAAAATGCATAGTTTGACTTTACATGAAGGCACACATCTGTAATCCCCACACTTCGAAGGCTGACACGGAAGGATCACAAGGGTTCAAAGCCAGCCTAAGTTATAAAGCAAGCCCTAGAGTCAAAAATAATTAAGATAAGCAATTTTTTTGTGTGCTCTACTTCCAAGTCTGCACATCACTATCTATCATTATAAAGTAGACAGTTTAAACTTCACTGCATGATGAAATTACAATCCCCACACTTTTGAAAGGTTATATGTCTTTGCATGTAGCATATGATGCAAATGAAAAGGTCTCTGGGTTTAAAACCTGTATCTGCTAACTTGAAGTAGACCAGAACAAATGTCTTTTTTGTCAATGAATACTCTCGAGGAATTCACTAAAGCCCAGTATTGTATCATGACCAAAGATAACCAGGCTCCAAAACTGTCTGTCCATTGTTTCATCATCCTGTGACCCTGTTTTCAATGCCATAGAATACTGAAACAGTACAAATGTCAGTCTGTCTTCTGTTTTCACTTTCATATTAAACACATCAGTACACTTTCTTATATTAACCAATAAATATTAGCAGATTTATATTTTAGGTTCTGAAAAGATAAAATTTTACTAATGACTAATCATAATAGCACATTAAATGTTGTTTTCTATAATTTATAAACAAGCTACACAGCGTTCATGTACATTCTCTTATTTGAAAACTCAAGGGGAAAAAAGCTAGACACAGTGGCATATACCTTTAATCCCTGCACTCCGGGTGTTGTAGAAGAAGATCACTAATTCAAGGTCAGCCTGGGATACACACACACACACACACACACACACACTAAGGAAAGGCCAGGGAGAGAGCATATAAACCCTGTCTTACAAAATCAAAATCAAATAATTGTCCAAGATTGATTGTACATTCCAAAAGGAATAAAGCTAACACAGAAACCCATCTTTCAACTCTAAATTCAACCTTTACCCACACCTAGAGATACATGAAATCATTCAGTTAATGAAATATGGATTTCATCTTTACTATCTGCCAGGATGTCAAAACAGATACAAAGTAAAAAAAAAGTGAGCATCTTGAAACTTTCAAATGGTAGTGGACAGCCTGGATCTTTGGAAAGCAGGGATAATGTTACCCAGCACCAAAACCTTTATCATAGATGAAAACCAGAGCATTATCTCATTTCAGCCAGGCTTTCTTGTTTATCACTTTCTGATGTAGGTAGAAAGCTGGAAGATTCCCCTGTAGTCATTGATATGGTTTCATTGTGGGTAGCTTGTTGTTTGTTTATTTTAAATCAGTCTATTTTCTCTTTGTTGAAAAGATGTATTTAAGAGATAACATATTTTCTAAAGCCAATAATATGAAAGTAAATTCTTACCTGTGATGGATTGAAGTCCAGACACTAACTTAGACTGTCAAATGTAAAGGGTCAAGCTCTGAACACAGGAGTCCCTCACATACAGCCGTATAGTGAGTCTTCAGAACACTTGCTCATCTCATTTGATATGGTAAAACGGTTAGGCCCAGTATAATTCTTGTTTTACAGTTAAGAAAATTCAGATTTAGGAGCCTAATTTAAAGTGACAACCGAGTAATAGTAAAGTTAGGAGAAATTAAAACTCTATTTTCTATTCTTTAAGTATCTTACTTAAACCTTATAATGCTTTAGGATATGGTTCATCTTCTTACATTCATTTTACAAGAAAATAAAGATAGGGATTAATTCACTTGACAATGTCATGTAGGCTACACATGCAGAAGTAAGCATTGAAAAGTAAATTTGAGAAACTCAACGTGTTTCTGCAAACCATGTTCTCATATTACCCCTGGTTATATTTTTCTACTATGGACCACACTTTATATTGTACTAGACAGTCTCTTACCTGTAATATATATATATATATATATATATATATATATATATATATATATATATATACACACACACACACACATGCAAGCATGCACACACACACACACATATAACAATCTTGTATTACTACTTATGCCTAGCTGACCACAGTGGTCCACATCTGTAATTCTAGTACTTGGTACATAGAGATGAGATCATCTAGAATTCAAGGCCAGCCTGAATTACATGACAGACTGTCTCTAAATAAATAAATAAATAAATAAATAAATAAATACTTAATCCTCTCCTGAATGGTTTGGTTATATCTTTGCATTGACTTCAGTGGTGTTTAAGCCACTTTACTATAATTTTAATTTGTATAAACAAAAATATATTATTTAAGAGGAAAGCCAATGAATAGGCACTGTGATATCCTTTTTTCCCCAAATGAATATCTGTGCCATCATTTAGAGATATTCCTTACCTTGGTTTTGATTTGTTTCATTTTATTTTATTGTAACAAGGTCTTGCCATGTAGCCCAGGTGTAATTCCAGCCTTCCACCTTGCTGGAGCAAGAGGATAGAGTATTTGAGGCCAACCTGAGCACTGAGTGAGTTCTAGCCTAGCCTGGGCTATCTAACAAGATCCTGCCTTAACTTTTCTATACCCTAAAAGGATATAGTCTGCAGCAAGGCTATATCAAAGACACAGTATAATATGAGTGACAGTCACCATGCTCCACACTAAATCCCAGAATTCATTCATTTTCAACCTAAAAGTTAGTACCCTTTGTCCTAGTTTGTGTTGTATTGCTGTGATTAAACACTATGACTGAAAGCAACTTGGGAAGGAAAAGGTTTACTTGGCTTACTCATTCTAATCACAGTACATCATGAAAAGAAGTCAGAGCAGAAACTGCAGTAGGAACCTGAAGTCAGGAACTGAAGCACAGACCATGGAGAAACACTGCTTCCTAGCTTGCTATTTCTGGGTTGCTAAACTTGCTTTAAAAACAACAAAATACTTTTTTTTCCAAAAAAAGTATTTCTTTTTTATGTGTGTGTTTTGCCTACATGTTTGTAGATGAACCATGTTCACACTTGGTGCCCATGGAGGTCAGAAGAAGCCACTGGAGCCCCTGGAACTGGAGTCACAGACGGTTGGAAATCACTTTGTGGTTACTTGTGATGGAACCAAGGTCTTCTGCAAAAGGAACACTTAATTGCTGAGCCATCACCCTAGCTGCCACCCCCATCTCTTGCTTTTTAATGCAACTCAACCTTACCTGCTCAGGGGTGGTACTGCCCAGAGTGGGTTAGGCCATCCCACATGAATCATTAGTCAAGAAAATGCCTCACAGAATTCCTCATGACATTTAAGAAACACTAAATATTGATCTTTCCTATCAAACACTGTAAAACTTGTGTTTATGAGAAAGAATTCAAATCTTTCAATCTCCCACCTTGTAAGACTTTCATGCAAATGTTTTAATCCAACTGCACTTGGCAAACCCTTTATTTGCACAAAGGCACTACTGCATTCCAGGAACTTGATGACTCTGAGCAGGAATTCCTTTCCCTTTTTCTTCATTTCCTTTGTGGACTCTTTTAAAACTAGCTAATCTTGAAAGGTTGGGAGGTCAGATCCCAGCGAATAGGGAAAAGACACAGTCATGATCACCTAAGTCAGAAAAAAAGCAAAGTGCACTTCCTGTCTTTGTGTTGACTCTGCCGGGAGCACACATCTTTTTGGTCAAGAGTAAAGCTGACCTTATTCAGAGAGTTCAATTGGAGTGGTGGTCTGCTTTTGTGCAGTGTCAAACTTGTTTCTAATTGATGTTTTTTCTTTCTAGATGATTCTAGCTTATGTCAACTTAAAAAATAAAAATTAAAAAAAAAACCTAACCAGCACACCCTTTGACCAATAGTTCCTCATTTCTACATCCACCAGCCCCAGCAATCACCATTTTTACTCTCTAATTCATTTTTTTTAATTTTAGCACATATATCCAGTATGTGTCTTTCTATATCTGCACCATTTCATTTAAAATAATACCCTCCAAGCTGAGTTTTACAGGATTTCAAAAACTGTAATGTCTTTTTAAATGTATACTGCTTAATCCTTGGAAGTTAGCTTACTTGCTGAGTGCAAAGCCTTCCCTAGAGATAGATCCTAAATAGTCCCCAGGAAGTGTGTGGGGCAGTATAGGCAGATCTCAATATAAAAGAGCACACATTATATGTATAAAAGAAAGCATGTAAAATTGGCATGCTAAGAACTGAGGTCTCAGCATTCCAAGTTCATGGCTTCTGGTTAGTTCCCTCACTTGTTGACACCTTAATCATTAATAAAGTGTTTATTTAAAAATCAAAGAGAAAGAGTATAATTCTTTTTGAACTCTGTGAGAGGCTTTATAGAGAGGAGTAAGGCATGGAGTGAAAAATACAAAATATGAACACTATGAAGATGTTGGTATAAGTAAACGGGG